AAACTGAGTTAAACAGTCATAATTCCATACATCTCCTAAGGAAACAAACTTCATCAGACTCGATGGGTAAACTAAGTCAGATTACAGATTAAACTAATTTTAGAAGGTTCACAAATTGGCTGATTGAGAAGAATTTACATGTCACTGAGGAGTCAGGGGCAGTTGAAATTCTTCCTCTGGCTTCTCATCTGAGGAATGTTTAAAGCTCTAAGTAAATTTTTACTTCCTGTGGGACAGGTTTTGATCAGGTGAGATCAATATTAAGACAGATTTTTAGTTGACCAAGATTTGCAGGAAGAATGGCCCTGAGTTCCAATAATAAAAGGAAATCCAACTCTTCCCCCACCTCCCTCCCTCCCTCCCACCTCTTCTCTTGTTTTTTTTTTTTAAGGCAATGGGATTAAGTGACTTGCCCAGGGTCACACAGCTAGTAAGTGTTATGTGTCTGAGGTCAAATTTGAACTCAGGTCCTCCTGACTCCAGGGCTGGTGCTCTATCCACTGTGCCACCTAGCTGCTCCTCACCTCCTTTCTTTAGAGGAAAAATCTTAGAGGTTGACTGAACGAAGTAGAGATCTGGAGAATGAGATTAGAGAAGAGGCAAGAAGGGAGCAACATGAGTTTTTTCTTTGTTTTTTTAACATCCTAACATAATAGAAATCTGGAGGACAAGATTCTTATCCTACTTTTGCACTCGCTGTATGATCCTGGGCAAGTCATTTCCCCTCCTTTGATCTTCAGTTTCTCTTCCTTCCAGTATTCCTCCTCCCCCACCTCCCCAAAAGCCATCCCTTATATAACAAACAATATTTTTTAAAGACTAAAAGAGACAAAAAGAAGTGGGAAAAAACCAGCAAGATACTATGGTGATGTAAGAAACAGAAAATATCAATAAAATATTTTTTAAAAGTAAATGTTGCAAAATTACAAAGAATAATCATGTTTTCAATGAAGTGTTATGACAAGATATCTGTCCCACCTCTTTGCAGAGGTAGAAGCCCATGAGTATCCCATGTTTCCCCATCAGTTCACATAGATCTTTCCATGCTTCTCTGTTGAGGGCCGATCTTAAGAGTCTGATAAGGGTTTAAGATCCAAGGCAGAGTTTGACCTCTGCTCAGGCTTTCACCCCAAAGGGCTCAGGGATTAAGTGGTATGGCTCCCCAAATTCCTTCCTGATAAAGAGGTCTCTGAGACATCCCTTCTCTCTCTTTGAACCTTAGGTTTACATATTTACTCCTCTATGCAGGTGGCACCTAGGAGCCTGGGAAAACCTTGGAATCTACAGCCCAATCTAGGAACCCTGATTGTTACATCCTCAGCAGATGTTCTGGGGAGTATCTCACGGGGAGGACTCTTTGAAGTTAGACTAGATCTTCCCTATATATTCTGTGCCCTCAGATGAATAAACTGAGTCAGTAATTCTACTCCGCTTGGCCCATGTCATAAGTTATTTCACGCCTCTCTGCTCGGTGTACAATCTGATTGCGGGCAACAAATTGGCGCCCGAACAGGGACTAAAAGTCAGAGTGAGGTCGGTTCCTTGAACACGCTCCGGAGGAAGAAATCCTTGCTGGTCACTATGCCAGGAAACAAGGTCCTGAAGTGGCTCAACGCCGCGGTACTAAGGTAAAAAGGAACGAGGGTCATTACAGGTTTCCCCATAGAAATAATAGGATTATGGGGGGAAATCACCAGGCTTACGTGGGAGATTATAAAATTAAAAAAAAATTGATTAGAAAAAAGTTTAGAAACAGGCTCGGTATTTAGAGCATAAGATATAGTGTCGCTTTGGAAAGGCCCACATATATACTTTCGATCTTAAGAGGCGCCCTTAAGATCAAAACTATGGGTCAAGTACAAAGTGGAAAAAGAGATAGAGAGTATTACCTAAGATTACTAAAGAAAATAGTGAAAGAAAAAGGTTTAGTTATTCCAAACAGTCAGTTACAGGAATTTTTAGAAGTTATAGAAAAATGCTGCCCATGGTTTCCACCAGAAGGGACAATTGATTTAGAGAAATGGGAGATTGTAGGCAAGCAACTAAGAGAATATTACAGAGAAGAGGGCCCTGGTGCATTCTCGATTGCTACCTTTTTAATGTGGAATGTGCTAAAAATATGTCTTACGCCCCGGATAAAGTACTAGTGGCTGAGAAAGTGATACGGGCAGATAAGGGGGTAGGAACAGATGAGGAAGAAGAAATGCATAAAGCCTTTGAGGAATGATTGAGCATAGTTGAAGAGGAGAGGGAAGACTGTATTCTGTTATACAACAGAGAAATGTGCATTCCCCTAAGCAACAGAAAGATGTGTGTTTACCTTCAGTTAAACAACAGCCTGGGAGAAAGTTAATATGTAAGGGCTTGTTAGAAGAGACAATACAAAGGGCAGAAAGCAGAGGGGAAGAAGTGCCTATGGACTTAAAATTAGCTATCCCAAAAAGCATGATGTTTCCACTATATGAAGAAGAGAATCCAGATAATCCTGGACAGATGATTAGGGAACATAGGAATTTTGAATTCAAAGTTTTAAGAGAATTAAAACAAGCCTCAGTACAATATGGGCCAAACAGTCCCTATGTACAAACTTTATTAGATTCAATAGCTAATACAGCCATGGCCCCATATGATTGGTATTCATTAGCAAAAACATGTTTGGAGCCAGGAGATTATCTAATATGGAAATCAGAATTTATTGAGCAATGCCAAGAGCAGGCAGGATACAATACAAGAACATTGATTCCTGTTTCTTTGGAGCAGCTCACAGGGACAGGAATGTTTACTGCACTGCAGCAACAGCTAGATTATCCACTTGTAGCATATGAACAAATTACGAAGGCTGCACGGGGGCATGGTTAAAGGTTCCTGGGAAACAAGATAGGGGAGCCTCGTATACTCAGATAAAGCAAGGCCCCCAAGAAACTTTCCCAGATTTTGTAGCCCGACTTACGCAAGCCATACAAAGGAGCATTTCTGATTCAAAAGCAGCTGAAATACTCCTTCAAAAATTGGCCTGTGAAAATGCTAATGCTGATTGTAAAAAAGCCTTACAAGGCGGCAAGTCCAATATGGATATTACAGAAATGATTCAGCGGTGTGAGAGTGTAGGGACCACGCAATTTCAGGTACAGGCTATGGCAGCAGCCCAAGCAGAAATGCTAGCAGCTGCCTTTCCTAACAATCAGAGGGACCTGAGAAGGTTAAAATGTTTTAATTGTGGAAGGCCTGGCCATATAAAAAAGGATTGTAGGGATCTTAGGAAGACACGTCTCAGCCCCCTACTACTCCTTGTCCTAGGTGTCAAAGAGGAAATCATTGGGCTTCATTATGTAGATCTACTTCAGATGTTAATGGACAGCCTTTAAACCCCCGGAGGGGCCCGCTCCTGCCCGCCAAACAATAGGAGCAGCGCTTTCATTGATTCAACCAGTCCCTGCTCCATGCCCACAAGACTTACAGTATTAGACCTTATTCATGCCACCCCAGGTAGTGCCGGATTAGATTTAAGTTCCACTCTTGATAAAAACATTGGAGATGAAGTTGTACGTATTCCCACTGGAGTACATGGTCCACCCCCAGGGATGGTGGGTTTAATCTTAGGCCGTAGTTCCCAGACACTTAGGGGACTCATGGTCATTCCTGGAGTGGTGGACTCTGATTACACTGGAGAAATTGAGGTTATGGTTTATGCTTTTCCTCGTTGTCGTTTTGTCATTCAAAAAGGGGAAAGAATAGCACAAATGATTGTAATGGATTATAAAAAACTGGGGAATATGACAAAAAAGGTAAGGGGGACAGAAGGATTTGGTAGCACAGGACTGTTTTGGCATAGAACTATCACAGATGCCAGACCAACTCTAAAAATAGAGTACAAGGAAAAGAATTTGAAGGGTTAATAGACACTGGAGCTGATAAGTCAGTTGTCACCTTACGGGCTTGGCCTAGAAACTGGCCACTAGATCAAGGAAATGTGATGTTACAGGGAATAGGAGAAATAGCCGCTCCTGCACAAAGCGCGGCATGGCTTACTTGGAGAGTGGAGGGGCAGCAAGGGAGATTTAGACCATATGTATTGCCACACCTTCCATACTGCCTCTGGGGAAGAGATTTATTGAAACATATGAATGTTACTGTAAGTAGCAAAAATTTTTAGTAGGGGTCACGGTCGAAAAGAAAAGAACAGTACAGGTTCCTAAGATAACATGGAAAGAAGGGCCCCCCATATGGGTGGACCAGTGGCCCCTTAGTCTAGAAAAAATTAAGGCTCTTCGAGATATTATAACCAGACAATTGGCAGCAGGTCATATAGAATTTTCCACTAGTCCATGGAATTCTCCTATATTTGCTATTAAGAAAAAATCAGGCAAATGGAGAATGTTAACAGATCTCAGACAAGTTAATGCTCGTATGATAACTATGGGAACCTTACAGCCAGGGCTGCCTTCTCCGATTGCAATCCCGGCAGACTGGCCTTTGTGGGTAATTGATTTAAAAGATTGTTTTTATACTATACCTCTTAGAGCAGAAGATTGTAAATACTTTGCATTCTCATTACCATCAGAAAATTTGAAACAACCTTACCAAAGATATCAGTGGAAGGTGCTTCCTCAAGGGATGAAGAATAGCCCCACCATGTGTCAGCAATATGTAGCAGATGCTATAGATCCCATCAGGAAAAAATACCCCCAAGCATACATAATTCATTATATGGATGACATCCTTTGTGCTCATCCACAAAAAGAGCAATTAGCTAGTATTATGGGGGACATGTTTACTTACCACTCTTAGAGATCATGGATTAGAGATTGCACCTGAAAAGATTCAAAAGGCACCTCCTTACTTGTACTTAGGACAATTAGTAGGGATGAATGAAATTCAGCCTCAAAAGATATGTATTAGACAAGATAAACTAAAAACATTAAATGATTTTCAGAAACTCCTAGGAGACATTAATTGGATCAGATCTTATTTAAAAATAGGGACTCATGAATTAAAGGATCTATATGATATTCTTAGAGGAGACCCTGATCCTACATCTCCTAGAACACTTACTACAAAAGCAAAACAGCAATTAGAAAAAATACAAAAATCAATTGAAACTGCAATGGCTCATCGCATAGAATCTGGTGTGCCTTTAGAAGTTACAATATTAGATACCCCAGATATACCTTTTGGATGTATACATCAGAAAGACAAGTTACTGGAGTGGGTTTTTCGGCCTTCACAGCCAAAATATACCCTTCAAACATATCCTTCTATGGTAGCAGACTTGGCTAAGAAAGCCTGCAAAAGAATATTACAATTAGTTGGAAATGCCCCTAGTATTATACATCAACCTTATGATAAAAAACAAATAGAGGAATTGCTCAGTCAAGACCATTCTTGGCAGGTGCTTCTTACTATTTTTCAAGGGGAAATAGATAATACATACCAATACCCAATTTTACAATTTGCCAGGAAACATCAGTGGATTATTAACACGATAGTGCAAAAGGATCCCATAGTGGGAGCACTCTGTGCCTTTACTGACGCTTCCTCTCATCACATTTCAACATATTTTATTCCCCCGATGAGAGATATGCAGCACATACACCATTTGATTCTACACAACAAAATGAAATTTATGCTATAATATTAGTACTACAAAGATATTCTGGTCCTCTTAATATATTTTCAGACAGTAAATATGCAGTAGGAATGGTTAATAACATAGAAACTGATCAAATTAAAGTCTCATCTAATTATAATATATTGCAACTTTTTATGATTTTACAACAAACTATTCGGGAATGAACTTCCCCAGTATATTGTACACATGTTCCTTCACATACGGAGCTTCCAGGACCTATTACACATGGGAATCAGATAGCTGATGACCTCACTAGACCAACCCTGTTAATGTTGTCTGTTGAGGAAGCTAAGGAATCACATGACAAATTTCATCAGTCTGCCTCTATGTTAAGGAAACAATTTGGGATTACTAGAGAACAGGCTCGACAGATAGTAAAATCCTGCTGTAAATGTCTTCCTTATATACCCACACCATATAAAATGGCTGTTAATCCACACGGATTATATTCAGGAGAAATTTGGCAAATGGATGTTACTCATTACAGCAGTTTTGCAAAGTTACAATTTATTCATGTAACAGTCGATACTTATTCTTCCTTCACTATGGCTACTGCACAAGCAGGGGAAGCAGTACAAAATGTCATAGATCATATGCTTCATTGCTTTTCTATTTCTGGTGTGCCCTCAGTTTTAAAAACTGATAATGGCCCTGCTTATGTTTCTCATGCATTTCGTACGTTCTGTCTTACATTTCATATTCACCACATTACCGGGATTCCTTATAATCCTACCGGTCAAGCAATTGTGGAAAGGAAAAATAGATCTCTTAAAACATTTCTTCAAAAGCAAAAGAGGGGAGAAGCCAGGGGTAGGCCACGAAGACAATTGGCTCAAGCAGTATATGCTTTAAATTTTCTTACTCCTGATAGAGAAGGCTGTACCCCAGCTGAAAAACACTTTAGATTACATAAGGGGAGTAATTATGAGGAACAAAAGACTCAAAAAAGAGTCATGTGGAAGGACCCAAAAACCAATCATTGGTTTGGACCAGATAGATTATTGACCTGGGGACAAGGGTATGCTTCTGTCTTTCCAGATGGTGCAGAAGGACCAATATGGATCCCTGAACGTAACATCAGAATCTGTCTCAGAGATGACCTGGAGGTTTCAGAGACTTCAAATACCAAAGAGGAAAAAGGACATAAGAAAACAGAAGCAGCGCCGGAGGCGATAGCGAGGAGCAAGCTCGGCAGGATGGCTGCTGCAACTGATGATGCTGTTACAAACAATGACTATTGAAGCAAAGACTTTACAGCTTTGGTCATACATTAACAACCCCCGTGGCCGAGACTACTCACGTGGGATGATCCAGTTATTGACATTATACCCGCAGGACAAGGGCAGAAATTTTTGGACAAAGGGATTGGAGAATTAAAGACTTAGAAATGAAGGATGTTTTAGGATACAATTTTAAAGGCAAAACTGGCACACCCCCAATATGTTTTGGAATTAATGTAGACTTTATAGATTATTGTGTTAAGTTAGAAAATATTACTCACTCTGCTCAATTTGTTCCTAGGGGAATAGTTTGGAATATATCTATGTTTGGTATGGAAACTACTAGATCTGTGAAAGGGCCAGCTCATCTTTCTCCCTGGCCAGATTGTTCTAATATCTCTGTATCGTCAGCATGGCATAAAATTCCACCTTGGGTAAAATGTCATACTCAGTATAGGGGTGTAGCTAATTACAAGTGGGAAAAATTTGAAATATGGAATAAATTAGATCATGATATTGAGGGTGCAAGACAGGGGTGGATTATGCCAGGAATTATCAATAAGAATGGTGTACATCAGGAAAAACTTTGGTTAGCAATGGCAGCATTTGATCCTATATACTTACATGCTGCCACTCCCTTTAAACCTGATATTGCTCTTTTTTATAATAGAACAAAGCTAGTTGCCTGTTTACCCAGGCATCAAGCATTTCTTTTGGGAAGACCCAACATCACACTGACACCTGATGGGTATTATAAAATTGTATGCAAAAATTGTGTAGTAAATAGATGCTTATATTATGCACATGGAACTTGGGAATTTGTAGCTATGATATTAGAAAGACCTAAATATTCTATATTTCCTACTCAAGTACAGGAGGGATGGTTTTTAGCTCCTGCTGATCAAACATTGTACTATCTTAATCGAGAGATTTCTGTTAGAAAAAAGAGATGTGTCCAATGTGTCGTTTGGGGAGTTGTGTCCCTGGTATCACTTATCTCATCCCTTGTTGCATCTGCAGTAACATTTCATACATTTACACAGCAAGTGCATGATGCACAATACACTGAAGCATTGGCTAGGAATGTGTCATTGGCACTTCACACACAAAAGGAAATTGATTTAGATTTTGAGAGAAAATTGGATGCATTAAAAGATGCTGTGGAATTTATTGGGGATGAAGTTGCAGAAATAGAATTTAGAGCTACTTTAAAATGTGATTATCACTTTACTATGGTATGTGTTACTCCTTTTCCATATAATTCTAGCATTGTAAATTGGAACATGGTTAAGAATCATTTAGAAGGTGTTTGGCATAATAGTAACCTTTCTGCTGATTTGTCTTTTCTTGCTAATATCACCCAGGTGATTGTAGATAGTCACTCCTGGGATTAACCCAAAAAATCTGGCTGTAGAGATCCTGAAAAAATTAAGTGAGACCAATATATTTAACAATTTATCTGCCTTGTTACTTCACGCATTGTCTTGGGCAATATTATTCATCATATTATGTTTTATTGTCCCCTGCATTGTTACCTTAATTAAATCAAGGATCACAGTGTTGGGAACGGATGTTCATCACCTCAAGCTCCTTGCTAATTTGAGAAGGGAGGAAGTTGTTGAGGGCCGATCTTAAGAGTCTGATAAGGGTTTAAGATCCAAGGCAGAGTTTGACCTCTGCTCAGGCTTTCACCCCAAAGGGCTCAGGGATTAAGTGGTATGGCTCCCCAAATTCCTTCCTGATAAAGAGGTCTCTGAGACATCCCTTCTCTCTCTTTGAACCTTAGGTTTACATATTTACTCCTCTATGCAGGTGGCACCTAGGAGCCTGGGAAAACCTTGGAATCTACAGCCCAATCTAGGAACCCTGATAAGGAGGAAATTCATGATTGTTACATCCTCAGCAGATGTTCTGGGGAGTATCTCACGGGGAGGACTCTTTGAAGTTAGGCTAGATCTTCCCTATATATTCTGTGCCCTCAGATGAATAAACTGAGTCAGTAATTCTACTCCGCCTGGCCCATGTCATAAGTTATTTCACGCCTCTCCGTTCGGTGTACAATCTGGTTGCGGGCAACACTTCTCTGTATTCATCCCCTTAGTTTTATTTTATGTCTTTGTTTTTTAAATGTGTTTCTTACAAGCAACAGATTGTAGGGTTTTATTTTCTCTAGTAGTGCAATCTATAGGTCAAAGGATGTGGACATTTTAGTCATTTTATTTACACAGTTCCAAATTCTTTCCAGAATAGTGGTATTGATTCACAGCTCCAACAATGCTCTAGTGTACCTGTCTTCCCATAACCCCTCCAACATTGATTATTTCCAACTTTTGTCAACTTTGCCAATTTGCTGAATGTAAGGTAAAATATCAGGATTGCTTTGATTGCATTTTTTTATTATTAGTGTTTGGGAGCATTTTTCTTTTGGTTGGTGAGAGATATGATTATTAATAACCAATTAATATTGAGGAGATCCAGGGGTTTTCCCCTTTCTATTCCTCATTCAAAGCCCAGTTCTTATGAATCTTTGTGAGCCCTTGTGATAGAGGAGATTGCCCAAATCACCTGGGTACATGCTTCTCACCACACCCAACTAGAAGACCTTTTAAAGAGAATCTAATCTAGGGGAATTCTGACCCCATTGTGTTCTACTTAGGCAGGACTGGGTGGCTCCCTTTCTTGGTCCAAGAATAACATGGTCAAAGACTTATAACCAGCCCCTCATTAGAATAAGCCCACCTTTCAATATCATATTCATTCTCTCATTAATTGTTAACCAATCAGAGTTGATTTCTACCTGTTGTGAATACTCACTCCAAGGGTATTTAAACATTGAGCAGCCTCCATGATTCGTCTTTGGTTTCCAAGAGAAAGCCAGATGACCATCATTTTATTAATTATCTGCTAGCCAAATGAATAAAATATATTATTAATTACCCAGAAACTATGTCTCTTAGACTTTTCATATATCACACTGGTAATAGTTTCAATTCTTTTGAGAACTTTAAGAGCTGTTATGATGGCACACTACGAAGACTCATGCCTAGAGGGTATATCACAATCATTTTAATTAATTTGTTTTCTTTAAGTGAAAGTGCCTTGAATGAATAAGGCATCCTTCCTCCAAGATAATTCCCCTATGTTGCCATTTCACAGATGGAGAAACTGAGGGATTGAGAGTTTTAGTAAATTGTTTGAGATCAGTAGAGGTTTTGTGACTTTCAGTAAATGCTTCCTGCAAGAAGGGCAACATAGACTGTCTTCCTTTTACAACCTGCTTTAAAAGGAAATTGAAGATTTGGCTTTTAGATATTTGATAACCATTAAGTTAAAGAATTTCTGTCCTGGCTATTTAACTAAGTGTGGAAGCAAGATTTGTTAGTTGGAAAGGACCCAATACCAAGAATGGGTGATATCCTGTCTTAAGGTAAATTTCATCTAGTCTGCAGGATAAGTAAAAAAGATCTAGTCCCATTTTTGTGTATTTTTATAAAAATGCCTAGTTTTAAACATCTTTAGCAGTCCATGGATTGGGGAATGGCTAAACAAATTGTGACTAAAAATATAATAAAATATTACTGCATCGAAAGAAAAAATAATATGAAGAATTTTTTTAAAAAGCATAGGAACATATAATAATTGAAACAGTGAAGTAAGAAGAACCAGGAAAACAACATTCACAGTGACTACACGTTGTTACATACACAATGTTAAAGCAAAGAACAAAAAACCTAAACTGAACACTGTGTAATTATATTGACCAAGTTTATCCCTAGAGAAGAGATTGAAAAATACATCTCCCTTTTTCCACAGAGGCATGGGACTATGGATGTGGGTCATTTTATATACTGCTAAATTCAGATGCAAGATAGAATGTGTCAAAGGCAAAAGAGAGGACCCAACAAGGCACAGTAAGAAAAATCCCAACAGGGGTAGTTAGGTGGCACAGTGGATAGAGCACCGGCCCTGAAGTCAGGAGGACCTGAGTTCAAATCTGCCCTCAGACCAAACACTTGACACTTAACTAGATGTGTGACCCTGGGCAAGTCACTTAACCCTAAAAAAAAAAATCAGAGCAGAGTGAGCACTTTCAACTTAATTGGGGAGAGCACAGCAAGGAGAGTGAGGAAGGGAGAAATCAGGGAAGATTTCCTGGAAGAGATGGCACCTGAACTAGATCTTAGAGGAAAATAAAAAGCATGAAACATGTGGAGGAAGTATATTCTAAGTATTGGAGGATAGCTACACAAATGCATATTGTTTATTGTTATTGTTGTCATTATTATTATCATTATCATACGGGAGAGCCCAGAATGAGACTAAGGACACCTAATAGTTCAGTCTGGCTGAAATGTAGGACATATATCTGGGACCGATATAAAATAAGACAAGTAAAGCAGGTTGGAATCAGATTGTGGAAATCCTTAAATTTTGTGCAAGGGACTGATCTGTAACTGAGGCTTATTTTTGTGCTCTGTGTTTTGATTAATTTTGTTGTGGAGTTTACTTGTTTTCCCTTCATTTATGAATTCTCTGCCCCCAAACAGGGCTTTCATGGAAAATTTACAGATTTCATTACATAGAGCCAGCCTTTCAGCTGAAGTCAAAGCTAGTAGTCTGAATCTTCCCTGTAGGTTCCATTTTTACATGGCATTTAGGAACAGGACTTCTTATTTCAGACATGATGTAATTTTGGGCTTTTTTTTGGGGGGGGGTAAAGGGTTCAGCATATTAGAGGTATCAAAACAGAGATTTAATAATCATTGATCTGACAAACAAACATGTCACCTACCTGGTTTTTAAACAGCAGGAATAAAGAAACTGTTAGGGAAAGAGCAGACTGCTGGCCTTAGTCAGGGATGGTTTCTCTGTTCATCCATATCATCAGCAACATCATTATCTTAACATTCCACAGTTGCTTTAATATATCAAAGCTTAAATTGTCTTTTAGATGACCATAGAAGAAATGGGCCGTGGTTTATAGCACTGCAATTCTAGCATGGAATGTTCTTGACATCTTTTTAAGCTAGAAAAAAATTTTGAAATAAAATGTATATTTAAAAAAAACCACATTTCCAATATTTTTCTTGCTCAGACCTGCAGTTTGTTTTCTGACTTACCTGTTGGAATATATGAGTTCAGGGGCCTTCAATGCATGTTTTTTCCTTCTTTCCTTTTCTTAGTGTCTTTCTTTAGCATTGGATGACATTTTAAACACCTTTCCCACTCGTGCTCTCTCTGGATCTCTGGCTTGCTTTATCCAGCTAATGATCTGTAGTTTTGTTCTGAGGCTGCTGTAGTTTCGGTTCAAATATACTGACTGCGCTGTGAGAAGCATCTGGGAATAAAGAAAGCAGCTTTGGAATTCTAGAGGCTGTGAAGAACAAATAGCAGGGGGAGGAGGAGTCAGTAGCCTCAGGGGCAAGGATGTCCGTTTTAGCTGTGGTTAAAAAAAATTACTTAAAAGTTTCATTTTCAATCATCTTTTGTAATTGTTAGTTAAAGTATAATCTGGACAATCTGCTATTGTCTTCAAATATATAGGCAAATATAGTTGCCTTTTAAAATTAACTTTACTGTAAAATAGAAAATAAGCTAGCATCCTCTCTATCAGAGTACTCAGGTAAGGCATTATTAACACCAATGGTGTCATTAAAAGAGCTGATTGAAAATCAGAAGATATCGATTTTACTGCTAATTTTCCTGGAACATTTGCTAGTTATCTTATTGCTTAGTCTTCTTGCGCTGCCGTTTCCCTGCTTTCATAACATGGGCATGAAGCTAATTTCAATGGATTTTTTAAAGATGAACTTTATGCTAAAGCATTATATGTTTTATTTGTATCAATACAGTATTGTATGCTAAAGCATTAATAAAATCCTTTTTTTTTGTGCTAACAAAAAATGGAAACAAAGTTTATGCCCACAGATTGGAGAATGGGTGAATGAATTGTGGTGGATGAATGTAACAGAATATTTTTACTCAATAAGTAACAACAAATGTGAATAATTCAGAGAAATATGGGAAGACATATGAACTGATACAAAGCAAGGAATAAAGAGAAAAGAAAACCACAATAATAATGTATATGAAAGAAAAACTAAAAGACATCAGAACTCAAATTAAATCTAATGACCAATTTCAGTTCCAGGGAGACCAAAGATGAAATACTGAAGTGGTAAAATGTAAGTATAGAATGTTGCATATGTTGTCAAATACAGTTGCTGTAATGATTTCTTTTATTTAACCGTTTTTCTTTGTTATGAGGAAGGGATCTATTGTAGGGGTAAGGGGAGGAGAGTGGTTATTGGGAAATGACTATTGTAAAAAATAAAAATCATCAATAGAACATTTTTTAAAAACTATGTTCCTTTGTAGAGTTATAAGCTATAAATACAAAGTGTTATTAACCTGCTAACTCATAACATTGAGAATTGAGCTGATCATTTAATGAATGAGATTTTAATATGAAAATCATCTTGCTCTCTGCCATAGGGGACTGAACAAGAGACCCCACACACTTAAATTTGCAGTAAAAAAAAAAGATTTAGATGAAAATAAAGAAAATAAGAGGAATCAAAATGATTGGACATCAGAAGAAGTTAGAAGAGGCTATGGAATTTTCATCCAAGAAAAATTTTAAGAAGAGTGTAGGGGACAGGAGATAGGGTCGTATTGGAGTTTTTTATGGAGCTGAATAAAGGAGCTTTGACTTTGAGGAGAGGTGTGCTTATGCTTATGCTCTGGCCTCTTGCTAAAACAGTGTACATAACCAAATACTTCTCCCTGAGGAGCTAAAGCATACATGCCCAGTTTTATTGGAAATGCTCCAATCCAATTTCACTTCTGCATCCCCCCTTTCCTAAAATAGGATACACTTAGACGTGCCTGGAGGTCAGGGAATAGGGAGAAGCCAAGTAATTTTTTAAAGTCACTCCTACCCAGCAATTCTGTGAATTCTCTGGGTTGGAATAAATGGCTGCTGAGGTCCCTTTCAACTCTCAAACTCTGAGATTCTATGATTTCTCTGCTCAGTCAGACAACTTTCACTAAAAAGGCTGGGCAAATTTCTACAATGCTGCTGGGTGGAGCTTGAAGAGGGAGTATTGGGTCATGCTAGGATTTCTAGTGGATAGGTATTTTCAGGGCATGATGGAATGAATAGTAAAGGTAAAGGCAGGAGAGAAATGAAACTCTGCAAGGTAGGCCCATAACAGGCCTGTTTGCTAGGGACAAGAGGATTATCACCTAAGGGGAAAGAATCCCGTTCAGTGTTTAAAAATTATTGTGCCCAGACTGTAACAAATATTATGGATGATATAAGAGAAATATGAGTCCCTGCCTTCAGAAATATATATGAAGTTAGAAAGGGACCCACAGTAGGTGCTAAGTCATCTGTAAGATATTATCAACAATGACTTATAGGTCAAAATGCATACATGACCTAGATATAAAGGCAGATATAACAAGAAAATTAGAAGATCATAGAATATATTACCTATCAGATTCATGGATAGGAGAATAATATGTGAAGAAACAAAAGATAGAGAACATTGTTGAGGTGTAAAATGAATAATTTTGGTTATTTAAAAGTTATCATATAATTATAGCCACGATTAGAAGAAAAAGTAGAAAATTGGGGGGAAACTTTCATAGACAATTTCTCTGATAGGGGTCTCATTTCTCAAATATATGGAGAATTTTGTCAAATTTATAAGAATATCCATCATACCCCAATTGATGAATGGTCAAACAGGCAGAAGAAATCAAGACTATATATAATTATAAGAGAAAATGCTCTAATTTTGATTATTGATTAGAAAAATGCAAATTAAAATAACTTTGAGATATCATCTTACACTGATCAGACTGGTTAAAATGATAGATGCTCTTCAGTTTGGGGAATGGCTAAATAAGCTATGGGATACAATTGTGATGAAATACTGCTGTAATATAAGAAATTATGAGCTGGTTGATTTATGAAACAAGTAAAGGCTTGGACTTATGAAGGAAGATGATATCTACCTTCAGAGAAAGAACTGACAAATAGAAATATACATAGTATGGTCTTATATATATATGTGTGTATTGTGTATATATACATGTATGTGTATATGTCCATATATATTAGTTTATGTATATGTGTATATATGTATATATTCATATTTAATTGTAGCCTGAGGGGGAATTAAAAGTACATAGCAGAAAACAAAAGAAAACCTAGAAAGAAGCATAGAAAATCTGGGTTGCTTTGAAAACAATGTATAAGATTTGTTATATAGGTTTTTGTGAAATGGAAATTTATTGCTTCATATTGAATCCTCTCATGTTCTGCTGTGTACATGGAAATGATCTTTTTTTCTTTATATTTGTTTTGTGTTTAAATTTAAAATGAATAAAACATTTAAAAAAAAAACAATGACATGCACAAGAAATGATGTAAAAGATATTATCCAGAATATGTATGATGGCCAGTCATGTAGGAAGAATGTTAAAAGGCCTAAAGAAAGGCTTTCAGTACATTAGATAGCTTCCTTTACGGAAGATTTATAGGAGGACATAGATAAGAATCACACAGAACAGGAAGGCACAGATGGGTGGTGAACTATATTCTTAATATGCACATCAATAAGAGCACAGAACCATTGAAGTACTGGAGTCTGATAGCTAACCTTGGAAGATTCAGAGATCAAGTTTCAAATCCAAATGTATTCTAATCCATTGTTTGGAAATGGCATGAAACAAACTTTTGATGAAAACAGTTATCTTTTTTATGATATGCAGAGTCACTGGAATATCTGGCCTGAGTGTGGCCACTGGCCTAATGCATGCTGAAGAGGTATTACTCATCTGTGATATAGTGCAGAAGACTACAAAGGCTTCCAGAAGGGAAAGAACACTATCTGAATCAGGAGCACAGTCATTTATTTAGCATCCTCTGTTTCTAGTCCCAAAGAGAACCAGAAAACCTGTTGATATAATATTTACTTGTTTTTTTTAAGTAGCCTCAGAGTGGAAAACTAAGAAAAGGGGAGCAAGGAGTGATTTTTGTAATGTCAAGGACATGCTTAATGTTAATCTGAGTCCATTCCAACAACTGGTACCTTTTATTCCTTCTTCAACAAGAACCCTTACTTAATACCAAATATATGTAGCATTCTTCCTGAGTGTGCTGTTTTTCTCCAAATCTCGAGATTGTTCTTGTCTGTGCATTAAGGGCCTGGCCGAAGAAGGATTCTAAGTGAATGTTTTCATCTGGGTTCATCTCCAGCTTGACTTGGTGCACATAACCTCCCTAAATGAGAGATTTATAAAGCCTCTAACCTCCTGTCTTCTCCACTGTCCATATTTGTACTATAGTTTAATGAGTAGCAGAATTATGTTTGTCTCCTGTTAATATTCCCTTCAATTTTAATTGCAAAATAGAGATTACAGGCTAATAACCTTTGTTATCAGAAAAGGCTGTTGATAACTAGAACTAAGAAAGATTACATTTTTATTAGGAAACACATTTTATCATATCTGCAATCTGATAAAAGCATATTATAAGACAGATACTGATAAGGTTTACCTGCAATATTAACTGATTTTCTCACCCTACCACCACAATGTCTTTGAAAGAAGCAAGAATATATAGATTCTCAAAAATCATGCACTGTGCCATAGAAGTATCCTGTTCTGTGTTTATCAAGTCCCCATCATCACATTGATTGGTTTGAGCAGAGGCTTAGTAAACAAAGTACACCTGTTTCTGCAGTAGCTGGAGCTCCCCAGACCTGCAGCTTCCCTTATTTCTAGGACTTAGGGTCCTTTCTCCTTTGACAACTCTGTTATTATGTTACACATTTTTATAAAAGCTACAGAGAAAAGAGCTGTTGTTGCTGACTCACTTGGGTGAATTGTTATCTTTTTGTTACATTGAAGTGGTTTCCTAGATGGTCTTTCATTTGTATTTATTTATCCAATCCAAGAAGATATCTGTGTAGTCTCACTTTTTTCCTTCCCTGTCTCACCAATTGACAGATCAGTCTGGAGCGATGTCTCGTGACATAGTAAGAACAATACCTGGAGTGGAACCATGCTGGATAGAATTGCACAGTGGCTCCATCAGGACCCTTATCCCTTCCTTGGTTTTCCCTCCTGGCTCCTCCGATAGCTAGTGCCTTTGTCTTGTCCCTACCTCCTGAAAGCCTTCCTCCCAACCATACTTTTTTTGATTATAGCCCAGGCTGAGAACTACAAGTCCCTGATCTATCTCTCTGCAATTCCCCCAAGCTTAACTTACCTGCT